CCTGGGAAAGCAGCAGGTGATGGTCCCTGCCACCCATGTGGGAGACCTGGATGAAGCTCCTGGCTCCTGTTTTTGGCTTGACCCGGACCTGGCTGATAAAGGCATTCAGGAAGTGAGGCAGCAGATGGAAGATTTCTCTATCGCTCTGCCCTTCAAATGGAAGAAAATAAACATTACAAATTATATCAGATGAAAAGAAGAATAAACTAGGAGCATCGCATTTCCTGATTTCAACATCTGCTAGAGGAGCAGCGTTTGACACAGAGGCTGATATGCTGCTTGGGACACCTCGTTCCACACTGGAGTACCTGGTCCAAGCCCCACCCCTGCTCTCCATCCAGTTTCCTGCTTCTGTGCGCCCTGGGAAGGCGACAGACGGCGTCTCAAGCAGTGGGAGACCTGGATGGAGTTCCTGGCTCCTGGTGTTGGGCTGGCCCTGCCCCCGCTGTTGTGAGCATCTAGGGAGTGAACCAGCAGATGGAAGATCTCTCTCCCTGTCTCTCTGTCACTTTGCCTCCCCAATAAATGAAATAAATCCTTTAAGGAAAATCTATTGACCAGGGCTGTGTCCTCTATCAGAGTACCTGGATTCAACACCCAGTGCCAGCCAGCTCCTAACTCAAACTCCCTGCCAGTGTAGACGCTAGGAGGCAGTGTGATGGCTCCAGTAATTGACTCCTGCCTTTATTCATTCATCAGGAGCAAGATGATGGGGATGGTGGGGTGGGCACAACACCGACCTCCCAAACTCCCGCCTGGAGGGACAGCAGTGTTTGCGGCAGAGAGAACCTTGTGATGCGAGACAGGTTCTCCTGTGAGTTGAAGAAGTCCTTCAGCTTGGCTGACGGAACCCTAACCCCAGGGAAACAGGAGCAAGAGGTGCCGTGCCAGGACTCTCAGCCACGTCCAGGCGCGCTGTATCTCCTTTAATTTCACGGCAAGGTTGTCAGCTGCTGTCTCCAATTCATCTCTGGAGTTGCACAGCTCCAGTTTGTTTAAAAAACAAGTAAATAAAAAGATACAGCTAGGAGTCAATCCCAGCCTGATCCCAAACCTGGGGTGTGCACACAAACGACTGGAAAGCACATTAAAATAAATGGATGCGGGGTTGGTGTTGTAACACAATGGGTTAAGCCCTGGTTGGTGATGTCGGCATATCCCATATGGGCTGCAGGTTCAGCCCTGGCTGCTTTGCTTCCGAACCAGCCGCCTGCTATCATGCCCGTGACGGCAGTGGGTTCCTGGCTCCGGGTTTTGGCCTGGTCCAGCCATGGCTATTGTAGCCCTTTGGGGGAGTGAAACAGTGGACGCAAGACATCTTGCTGTCTGTCACTCCTTTTGAACAAACAAATAAATAACTAATCTTTACAAAGCAATATACTTGATAAATATAGATGTGACCTCTTGTTTCTGGTCTGGCATAAGGAATCTTCACTGTGTCCTAACAATGACTAAGAAGCTAAACAAGGGAGAGCCTGGTGATTCAGTCGCTGGTTGAGGTGTTTGTGCCCCATATCAGAGGGCCTGCGTTTGAGTCCTGGCTCCACTCCTGCCTTCAGCTTCCTGGGAGGCAGCTGGCGATGACTCAAGTAGCTGGGTCTCTGCCACCCACACGGGAGACCTGGTCCCTGTCGTTTTATTTCGTGGACACTGACTAACTGACTTTAAGATTCATGTGAGGGGCCAGGGCTTGGCGTAGTAGGTTCAACTTCTGCCTGAGGAAGTTTCTTAAAAAACTAAACATACCAGGGTCCGGCGTTGTGGCATAGCGGGGTAAGCCGCCACCTGCAACGCTGGCATCCCATCTGAACGCCGGTTCGTGTCCCTGCTGCCCCACTGCTGATTCAGCTCCCTGCCGTCGCCTGGGAAAAGCAGCAGAAGACGCCCAAGTATTTGGGCCCCTCCACCCATGTGAGAGACCTGGAAGAAACTCCTGATTCTTGGCTTCAGCTTGGCCCAGCGCTGGCTGTTGTGGCCATCTGGGGAGTGAACCAGCAGATGGAAGATCTCTCTAACGCTTTAAATAAATAAGTCTTTTAAAAAACCGTAAAAATATCAAAAGATCCAGCATTGATAGTCCTTAGTGTTCACCAGACGAACTGAAATCCTCTGTCCACCCAGAAGCCTGCACACAGCTGTATTCGTAACTGCCAAAACTTGGCTAGCAACCGAGAAGTCCTTCACTGGACAAACTGATGCCTCCAGACAGTAGGATGTTGTTCAGCATGGAAAGAAATGAGCTGTCAAACCACGAGAAGACAAGAAGGGGCCTAAAATGCATATTGCCGAGGAAGGGAAGCCAAGCTGACTCAACTCTATGACATCCTGGAAAAAAATGCAACAGTTAAACAGGAAGACAGGAATTAGCTCATGCAGGATCGACGCCGTGGCATAGTGGGGAAAGCCGCTGCCTGCAACGTCTGCATCCCATACTCTGAGCTAGTTCCCTGCTAAAGGCATGGGAAGACCAGCAGAATATGACCCAAGCGCTTGGGCACCTGCCACCCACATGGGAGACCTGGATGAAGCTCCTGGCTTCGGTGTAGCCCACTGCCGGCCATTGTAGCCATACGAAGAGTGAGCCAGCAGATGGAAGACTTCCCTGTCTCTCTCTCTCCCTTTTTCTGTAATTCGGATTTTAAAAATAAATAAAACTTTTTAAATGAGCCTATGTGTGTGAAAGGGGCCTCAGGAAAGCAAAGCACCTGTGGATAGGAATGTAGTGGCCTGGTATTTTACACAACAGAGTCTTGCCCATGTATCAGCCTTCTGCCCCAGAGAATGTCTGCCTGGTGCCAAGGGGGGTGCCCAGTCTAACACTGGGACACAAAACCTTAGGAGGAAGTTCACCTGTTTCACACCCAGGAAGCCCTTCATTGAGGAAAAGAGGGTAGGGGGAAGGAGAAACGGTGGGAAGACTGGGGCCCCACACCCTACAGGTATAGGGTTCCTAGTAGGAACGTGGACCAGGCACTCTGGAGAGGTGCCCATCTGTTCTGACAGATCACTACCTCATTGAACCTAGCTACCTCACTTACTGCTACTCTGTCTCACCCGGAATCCCTTTCTCACGGGACTCCAAGAACCTCTATTCCAGCCATCGCTGCTAACGAAACTATGGAGTCAGTTCAAGGATCAGTGGTTTCCAGGAGTTCCCAGGAGGGAGAGGGAACAGTGGAGCTTGGAGGACTTTGAAAAGGGCAGTGGCTTCTCTGTGTGACACAAGATGGGTGTCGTTAGACATTTGTCAAGCCCCCAGAATGTACACTGTTGAGAGTGTGCTAATGTAAACAGACTCACGGTGACAGTGTGTCGGTGGGTCCGTCATCAGCACTGTGGCACAGGGTGCCCACGCAGGAGAGAGGCTGTGGGTGTCTGCCTGTGCAGCAGACCCGAGTTGCTACTGGACCCCCAAACATGGCTCACTCGCCCGACGTGTGGAAGAGCCCATCTCTGACGACGGGGTGGTTGGAGGACGGTAGGTATTTATGTACAAAGTTCAGAGCGAGATCCCGGTTGTCTTTGCTTAAGGGGTTGGGGTAAAGCACTTTATGGACTGGAGTTGGGGCTGCGGGGTGCATGTTCAGCTCACGTCCAAGTCCCTGGTTGGCCAGGGATGTCCTGCCCTTCAGGGAATGTTTATAATGGCCAGGCAGCTTCAGTTGGTGGTGCTGGTGGGGTTTCCATGCAGGTGGTAGGTTCTAACCAGACCTGGAATTCCCTCAACAACCTCCAACAATGCTGGTCAAGGTTCTTATTTATTAGAGAAGGAAATGAGAATCTTTAGGGCCAGCTGTACCACCCCCTCAATTCACCCCCCCTTTTTTTTTGACAGGCAGAGTTAGTGAGAGAGAGAGACAGAGAGAAAGGTCTTCCTTCCGTTGGTTCACCCCCGAAATGGCCGCCATGGCTGGTGTGCTGCGCCGATCTGAAGCCAGGAGCCAGGTGCTTCCTCCTGGTCTCCCATGCGGGTGCAGGGCCCAAGCACCTCCACTGCACTCCCGGGCCACAGCAGAGAGCTGGACTGGAAGAGGAGCCACCAGGACAGAATCCGGCACCCCAACCAGGGCTAGAACCCGGGGTGCCGGCGCCGCAGGCGGAGGATTAGGCTAGTGAGCCAGGCGCCGCCAGCCCCAGTGGATTCCTTTTGTTACGCGTTGATCCTAGAGGACAGGCGCGGACACCTCGGGCTAACAGAACTACCAAGACTGTAAAACGCCCAAGGGAGGAGCGTGGCGCTTGTGCATGTCCCCGGAGCAGCCCAGCGCAGGCTGGCGGATTCGCTTTTTTTTTTTTTTTTTTAAGATTTATTTGAAAGTCAAGAGTTACACAAAGAAGGAGAGAGAGAGAGAGAGAGAGAGAGAGAGAGAGAGAGAGAGAGTCTTCCATCCGCTGGTTCACTCTCCCAATGGCCGCAACGGCCAGAGCTGTGCTGATCTGAAGCCAGGAGCCAGGAGCTTCTCCCACGTGGGTGCAGGGGCCCAAGCACTTGGGCCATCTTCCACTGCTTTCCCAGGCGCATTAGCAGGAAGCTGGACCGGAAGTGGAGCATCCGGGACCCGAACCAGCGCCCATAAGGGATGCCGGCACTGGAGGCGGCGGCGGCGGCTTCACCCGCCAAGCCACAGCCCCGGCCCCCAGACTGGCGGATTCTAACCCCACAAAGGCGCCGCAACGGATCCACCGCGGCGGGACTACACCGTTTCCTGCCAGGTCAGGGCAGTTGGCCCTTAGCGTGTCCCCCGGCTACGACCTAGCAAGGACCCAGCAGGACCCCAGCAAAGTCCTCGCTGGCGCTGGGCCCCCGTGGGCCTGGGCCGTGGAGTCGGAGTTCAGGCGCACGATTCCAGCCAAGACTCTTTCCCGCGTACGTGGGCGGGAGGGGTGTAGATGGCTGGCTGCCCACGCCGAGTTTTCGGAGAGCCACGCCCTCCCAATCTCTCAAATTTCCCGGGCGCCACGCCCCCTCGGCTCCCGGCGCGCCCGCTCCGAGCCGTCGCGCCGGAAGTGACCTCACGACGGCGGCGTGGAGACGCGAGGGCGCTTCCGGCGGCGGCGGCGGCCGTGGGGGTGGGTGTGGAGAAGCCCCCGCGGCGGGTCCTTTCCGAGCTGAGTTGCCCGCTTGGCGTGCTGCGCGGAGGAGGCCGAGCCCGGACGGCGCGGAGGTGGGAGCGAGGGGCGGCGGCTGCCGTGTGGGTGCTCGTGGGACGGCGCTTCCGGGGCTGCGCGCCGTGGAGACCTTGCGTGCGGTGGCGCGAGCCGGGGGCGGCCCCGGGTTTGGGTGGGCTGGGAGGCGTGAGGCGTGAGCGGCCTGGGCTCGCTCCGCGCCTCGGTGTGTCCTCTGGCTCGGGGGGAGGCGGGGAGCAGCGCGAGCGTGCTCGTGACCGTCGACCCGCGGTGACCTCGCGGGTGGAAGTGTGTGGGTGCGTGGGAGGCGTGGCGCTCGCCGGCCTGGCCTGTGGGTCCGCCCCGGGTTCCGCGGCGCCGAGCCCTCGCGCGGCCGCAGGTGAGGAACGCCCCGGCCGCAGGGAGTCTGCTGTTTGCCAAAGCCGGGTGTTCATCCCACCGGGACAGCGGCGCCTTTCGCCTGGGAACTTCGTGTGTGTTTTTTTTTTTCAATTGAGGGACACAGGATTCTCGTTGGCTGGTTTCTCTGGATGGAGTGGACATTTCCTTTGGGTTACCCTTGCTGGGGGGTGGGGGGGCTGGGGGCGAGGAACGAGAAGTGTCCGACACTGTGGCCGGATGCGTTTTACGTCTTCACTCCGGACATTTTTCGTTTCATTAAAAAAAAAAAAAAAAAAAGCTGGTTGCAGCTCTCCGGTCGGACTCGGCGCCAGTGTGCCAGCACCTGTGGTTTCAAAAGCGTTGCGCTAACATGCCCGAGGTTTCTTGTGTTGCCGAGGTTCTGTGTCTCAGAGCGGGTGCCGCAACCCTGGGGACGGCGTGTCGGTTTCTCGAGGGGTTTGTTGAGCGCTTTCTGATGACCCGGTGGGCAGCCGGGGGCGATTGGCCAGACCGTGGCGGACCTGGGCGCACCTCCGCCTGCAGAGGCCTGCTGGGTGGGCCCCGCGCGGAGTGGGGTCCGGGGTCGGAGCTGGGACGCCGAGTGCGGCCTGAGCTCTGCCTGGAAGCGCTGCTTTTCAGGCCGTGCCTCTGCGAAGTGCAGAGGGAGCCGGCATTTGGTGGAGGCCCGACTGCCCAGCGCTGGTAAGGGGGGGCCTCTGCCGACGCGAGTCCTCGCGTGGGCCCCGCGCAGTGCACGGCCCCTCGGTGATGGGGTGGGGCGCGGCCACGCGTTCCCTTCGGGGAAGACGTGATTCCTGATGCAGCCTCTGTGGTTCATGTACTTCTGTCTAGGTTTTCTGTTGCTTCTTGAGTTAGTTCGGGTCATTTTTATCATTCTGGGAATTTGCCCGTTCCCTGTTTTTCCTTTTTCTTTTTGAACTTCTGTCCATTCCAGTTTTCATACAGAATTGTATCCTGAAGCACAGGTCATCAGACTTCTAGTTTTTTTATTTTTTAAAAGATTTATTTATCTGAAAGGCAGAGTGACAGAGAGAGGGAGAGACAGATTTCCATGAGCTGGCTCACTTCGCAGAAGGCTGCACGGCCAGGTGGGCCACGAGCCTGGAACTCGGGCGGCGTCTCCCATGTGGGTGCAGGGCCAGGGGCTTGGCCGTCTGCTGTTTCCCAGGTGCATTGGTAGGGAGCGCGATCAGAAGCGGAGCAGCGGGACGGGAGGCGGTGCTCCCTGGTAGGGGTGCCGCTGTGCCAGACATGAGCCCCCATGAAGGTTTTCTGTGAAGAGCTGGAGGTAGGCCTTGTGGGTGTGTGCTTTCTGTCTTTACGGCTAAGCTCTCCTTGTAGTGCAGAAACCCCCATGGATGATGGGCAATTGAGTGTGGCTGTATTCCAGAAAAGCTTTATTGGTAGCGGGCCAGATTAACTGATTCTTAGCCATTCATAAAATAACAAATTGTAGAGTCAAAAGCTTTTTGGTACCTAATTATCACATAGTCAGGTGTATGAAAGAGCAGTGTGGGGGCTGCGCCGTGGCGCAGTAGGTTAATCCTCCGCCTCCGGCATCGGCATCCTATGTATATGGGCGCCGGATCTAGTCCCGGCTGCTCCTCTTCCTATCCAGCTCTCTGCTGTGGCCTGGGAAAGCAGAAGATGGCCCAAGTGCTTGGGCCCCTGCACCCACGTGGGAGACCCGGGAGAAGCTCCTGGCTTCGGATCAGCTTAGCTCCAGCCATTGCGGCTGTCTGGGGAGTGAAGCAGCGGAAGGAAGACCTGTCTCTTCCTCTCACTGTCTGTAACTCTACCTCTCAAATCTTAAATAAAATCTTTGGAAGGAAGGAAGGAGGGAGGGAGGGAGGGAGGGAGGGAGGGAGGGAGGGAGGGAGGGGAGGGGAGGGTTGGGGAGGGTTGGGGAGGGTTGGGGAGGGGGGGAGGTGTGGAAGTTGATGCCCTGGCTTGACTACCACTCTGTTCCAGTCTGAAGACTGGGACTTCACTTCCGAGGTGTTCTAGAGGGGATTCATGCATTTTTGTTGCTGTGTTTGATTTTTTGAAATGTTTTTAATTTATTTGCGAGGTAGTTACAGACTGAGAGGTAGAGACAGACAGAAAGGTCTTCCATCCGCTGGTTCACTCCTCAGATGGCTGCAACAGCCGGAGTTGGGCCGATCCGAAGCCAGGAGCTTCTTTTGGGTCTCCCACGCGGGTGCAGGGGCCCAAGCACTTGGTCTGTCTTCCATTGCTTTCCCAGGCCTTAGCAGGGAGCTGGATCAGAAGAGGAGCAGCCGGGACTGGAACTGACACCCATGTGGAATGCCGGTGTTGCAGGCAGAGGATTAACCCACTGCGCTGCAGGGCTGGTGCCGCTGTGTTTGATTATTATTATTTTTTTTGACAGGCAGAGTGGACAGTGAGAGAGACAGAGAGAAAGGTCTTCCTTTGCCGTTGGTTCACCCTCCAATGGCCGCTGCGGACGGCACACCGCGCTGGTCTGATGGCAGGAACCAGGTACTTATCCTGGTCTCCCATGGGGTGCAGGGCCCAAGCACTTGGGCCGTCCTCCACTGCACTCCCAGGCCACAGCAGAGAGCTGGCCTGGAAGCGGGGCAACCGGAACAGAATCCAGCGCCCCGACCGGGACTAGAACCCGGCATGCCGGCACCGCAAGGCCCTTAGCCTAGTGAGCCGCAGCACCGGCCGCTGTGTTTGATTGTTTACAGGCTTGGTCCCATGTGTGAGCAGTAGTAGTCTCGTTGCTGAAAGGAGATATGTGAACGGAAATGCGGTGTGTGATACGCGATGTGGACTTCCTCCTGAGGCCTTTTTTTTTTTTTTTAAGCAATTTTTTTTAAAGATTTATTTTATTTTATTTGAAAGACAGAGTTACAGAGAGAGTTAGAGACAGAGAAGTCTTCCATCCACTGGTTCACTTCCCAGATGGCTGCAACGGCTGGAGCTGGGCTGATCTGAAGCCAGGAGCCAGGAGCTTCTTCCAGGTCTCCCACGTGGGTGCAGGCGCCCAAGGACTTGGGCCATCTTCTACTGCTTTCCCAGGCCATAGCAGAGAGCAGGATTGGAAGAGGAGCAGCCGGGGCTTGAATCGGCGCCCATATGGGATGCCGACGCTTCAGGCCAGGGCTTTAACCTGCTGCGCCACAGCGCCGGCTCCCCTCCTGTAGTCTTAGAGGTGAGTCCTGTCCTGTGGTTGAGGTCGTTGGGACTCAGATCATTCACCAGGTCACACTGCTTAAGGACGTCCAAAAGCGAACCAGTGCTGGGATGTTTGACCTCGCAACTCTGCTTTTTTTCTACTGTTGCCTATGGAATATGGAAGGTGGGGATTTAGTACTAGAATTGTGCTAGATGCTTTCTTTTCTTTTCTTTTTCTTTTTTTCAAAGATTTATTTATTTATTTATTTGAAAGTCAGTTAGAGAGAGGAGAGGCAGAGAGAGGGAGAGAGAGAGGTCTTCCATCCACTGGTTCAGTCCCCGATTGGCCGCAACGGCTGGATCTGTGGCTGATCCAAAGCCAGGAGCCAGGAGCTTCTTCCGGGTCTCCCACACGGGTGCAGGGGCCCAAGGACTTGGGCCATCTTCCACTGCTTTCGCAGGCCATAGTAGAGAGCTGGGTTGGAAGTGGAGCAGCCGGGTCTCGAACTGATGCCCATGTGGGATGCCAACACTGCAGACAGCGGCTTTACCCGCAATGCCACAGCGCTGACCCCATCTTTTTTTTTTTTTTAAAGATTTATTTATTTGAAAGGCAGAGTGACGGAGAGGGAGAGACAAATCTTCTATCGACTGGTTCACTCCTAAATGGCTGGCCACAGTGACAAAGGGCTGAGCCTGTCTCCATGTGGGTGGCAGTACTTGGGCCACCTTCTGTTGCCTATTTTTTTTTTTTCGGACAGCAGAGTGGACAGTGAGAGAGAGAGAGAGAGAGAAAGGCCTTCCTTTTTGCCATTGGTTCACCCTCCAATGGCCGCCTCGGCCGGTGCATCACACTGATCTGAAGCCAGCACCTGGGCCATCCTCCGCTGCACTCCCGGGCCACAGCAGAGAGCTGGCCTGGAAGAGGGGCAACCGGGACAGAATCCGGCGCCCTGACCGGGACTAGAACCCGGGGTGCCAGCGCCGCAAGGCGGAGGTTTAGCCTGTTGAGCCGTGGCGCTGGCTAATGAAAGACTTCTTTATAAAATAAACCTCCTTGAAAAGTTCTTTTTTCACCTACTTGAAAGGAAGAGCAAGAGCTTGATCTTCCATCCACTGACCCACTCCCCAGATGCCTGCAGCAGCCAGTCCTGGGTGAGGCTGGAGCACGGGCACCTGCAGCTCCCACCTGGGACCCCGCAGAGGTGGCAGAGACCCAAGTACTTGAGCCAGCAGAGCCGGCATCTGCTGGCTCCTAGGGTGCATTAATAGGAGCTGGATTGGGAGCGGAGCAGCCGGGGTTCAGACTGGTGCTCTGATACAGGGTGCAGCTTAACAAACACCCACAGTGCTAGCCCCACCGAGTCACGCATTCATGGTCACACTTTATAGAGGGGAGTGTCTGAGAAAAGGAAAGGCAGTTAAACATTCAGTGGTTACTTTGAAAATTTTTATTTATTTGAGAGAGCGAGCTCCCATCCTCTGATTCACC